CTCTCTCTCTCTCTCTCTCTCTCTCTCACACACACACACACACACACACACACACACACACACACACACATATACAGGGGAGGGGGGAGAAACTTTTTTTTAATTTCTCTTGAGTTCTCCTATAATCCCAGTACTTGGAAGGCTGAGCAAGGAGAATTTCTGTGGGGTTGAAAGTAACCTGGGCTGTATAGCAAATACCAGTTCATCCAGCAAGACCATCCCTGTGTGTGTGTTGTACGTGGTGTGTGTGTGTGTGTGTGTGTGTGTGTGTGTGTGTAAATATATATTTGCTTTCTTCTCTCATATACTGTTATAGAGATGTTTCAGTAACTCAGATGCTATGGTTGGCTCTCCCACACCAGTCCTCACTCCTTGTCCATAACCCAGAGAAAACAATTAGTATTGCTAGTCTTCACCCTGTAATGGCCCTTTACACATTTAAAGGTTTATTTTTTTTAACCTAGTTGCTTAATATTTATTGGCCATTAACCACATATAAATATTCTTCGGGGACTAAGAGAAGCAAGAAATGACAGGGGAAAAAGGGAATATGAAAAATGTGTTTTTCAGTCAGAGTAGAAAGATGAATGACGTCTCAGTGAAACATGTGTGAACAAAGTAAACCGAGTATACTGCAAAAGGATGTATATGAAGATGGCTAATATAAACTGTAATGCTGAAGTGAGGCATGCCATTAGAATGTTTGAAAAATATCATATTCGAAAAGAATGTAAGTATATCCGTAAGTGCTATTGCTGTCTGGAGAACTGTATATAAACTGAGTTTTAAAAGACGTTTGGTGCTATTTAAACAACCACACTTCAAAAACAATCACTTTGCAATTCTTTGCGTTTAGCACAGTGCTCAGAAATCAGAAAAAGAGTGGACTAGATGTTTCCCTGGCTTGCTAGTTGTTGGTCCTTGGTGACTGCCACTGCCCCATGAAGATATTTCTGTAACGCAGTCAATGAAAGATGCTCTGCTTGAGTCTGGACATAAGGTACCAAAAACAGAGTGCTGTGGCAAAAACAAGTGTGTCTTGATGAATCCGCCCAACACACTCTGCCCAGAAAACCATATTCATGCCTCTCAGCATACTAAAATAAACCAGAGACTTTGACATTTATGACAACTTATTACAATTTAAATTAAGTAAGCATATCAAAATATAATACTGGCCTGGAGTCAGAACTCACGAGTTCTGAACACAGCTCTAACTTTGGGTATAATAAAGAACATGTCTATGTCCAAACTCTGAGTCTTACTGTCTCTGTGCTCTGACTCTGGGAAGTTATGGCTCCTGCAAACAAAATTCATCATCATCATCATTATTAATTATTGTTATTGTTATTATTTTGGTTTTTTGAGACAGGGTTTCTCTGTATGTCACCCAGCCTCTTCTAGAACTTGCTCTGTAGACCGGGCTGGGCCTCAGACTCACAAATATCCCCCTGCCTCTGCCTCCCCAATGCTGGGATTAAAGGCATGTGCCACCACTGCCAGGCACTCCTATTATTTTTTAAAAGGTGGATCTGATGTGTGTGTGTGTGTGTGTGTGTGTGTGTGTGTGTGTGTGTGTGTGTGCATGTGAGTGCCCATGGAGGCCAGAAGACAGTGTCAGATGCCTCAGAGCTGGAGCCAGATGTAATTGTGAGCTTCCTGGTGTTGGTGCTGGGAACTGAACCCAGGTCCTCCGGAGGAACAGCAAGTGCTCTTGCCCGCTGAGCCATCTCCCTAGCCCCAGTTCCTACAGTTTTAAATCATAACCTTCTCCTCTGTTCATTGGGTTTTCCCTTTTCGTTAGTTGTTTCTGGAGTCTGCATAGCTGCATTGCTCACTGATGACTTTGACCCTGTCCCAGGAAGACAGCTCTGCATTGTTTAGCGATGTGTTGTGGCCAGATTCATTTAATTCAAGCAGATCCCCTATTGTATCTATATAGTTCCGTATCCAGAGGGAAGCTAGACAGAATTGCTACACTTGGTGCTTCGTTTTGTTGTGCTTTGTTTTGTTGTGTTTTGTGTTGTGGCATGTGTTTTTGGGTAGGGGAGGGTATACTCCACAGCATGCACGTGGCACGTGGAGATCAGAGGACAACCTTGAGGGAATCAGTTCTCTCCATCTACCAGGTGGGTTCCCAGGGACCAAAATATGGTTGTAATTGCTATGTATTCAGGGCAGGAAGGAAGTCTTTGGAGGGTATGAGGACAGAACAGATGTGAAAGGACTATATAACTGTGTTTTATTTTTAAACTATTGCATTTATTTATTTACTGGGTTTGTGTATGTGTTCATGCACGTGTATGTCGGTGGGTGCCACAGCATGCGTATTGAGATCAGAGGAAAGCTTGTGGGAATCCATTCTTGGCTTCCTTGATGTTGGTCCCAGGGACTGAACTCAGGTCAACAGATCCCCAGGGCTTCCCAAATGCTAGGCAAACTCTCTACCACTGAGCCGCTCCTGGGTCCCAATATGATGTTTTGTAATACATGCCCATTATAGAACGGCCAAACAGTTACCATACGCATCACCTTACACATGTACCGTTTTGGTCATGAAGATACTTTCTAAGGTACCCATGGTGTGGATGTGCCATACTCCGGCTGCGGTAAATATAAGCCATCTCTCTGACATGCTTATTTCTCTTTTTCCCCCTGAATACATATGCAATAGGAGGATTAGACAGACAGCAGCTTTTTGAGGAGTGTCTGCCAGTTTCCATCATGGTTGTACCAATCCATAGTCTCACCAACAAAGAGCAAAGGTTGCCTTTTCTCCACATCCTAACCAACACCTTCTTTTGTCGTTGGGGGGAGGGCAGGGTGTTGCACCTACATTAAGGTGTCATGTAGCCAGGTCTTGAACTCCCGATCCTCCCAAGTGCTGGGACTAAGGTGTGTGCTACCATACCTGGTTTAGGCCATGTAGGGGATTGAGCCCAGGATCTCATGCACTCTACTAGCTGAGTCCTATCCTCAGCCCTTACTGGTCTTTTTTTTTTTTTTCCCTCAATAGCCTTTCCAACAGACACACAGTGATATATTTATGGTCCTAGCCATCGTTATTGTTGTCCTAACGTGCATTTCTCTGATGATTAGTGACGTTGAACATTTTCTTCATGCCTTTTGGCCACTTGTGTGTCTTCCTTTGAAAGATGTCTATTGGAATTCTTTGTCTGTTTTTTAAATTAGGTGATGTGTTCACTTGTTGTTGAGTTCCTTGTACATATTGGCTATTAACCCTAACCAAATATATAGTTTGTAAATGTTTTATACCATTCTGTAGATTGTTTCTTCATTCCGTTGTTTCTTGTTCTAGAAGCTTTTTAATTTTATGTAGCCCTACTCATCATTTTTGCTTTCATTTCCTGTGAAATAAGTTACAGAATCAGATTACAAAGTTTCTGAAGTTGTATCTTACTAAATGAATTTTTACAAAATGAATAACCGAATTTTTGTTTAGACTTCTAACATCTCGGTTTAATAAGCTTTCAACATAAAATTTTCCAGAAAATTTGGTATCCATCTGGCCTCAGTTAAATGTAATACAAAGGAACCAAGAAGCCTGGTAACTTTCACCTTCCAGCAAATATGGATGTGGTTGCTATTCATTTCCTGGATCGTTTCCTCCTCCCTGATCGACCTTGGTTTTTTTTCCCACTGTGCTTTGCCAACCAACAGAAGATGAATGGGGACCCATGAGTCACACCCGCTTGTCTCCACATGCATCTGGACAAATACAGAAGACAGTAGGCTGAGGGAGAAGAATGAGCTCCCCCTGCTCTGGGCTTCACCCACAAAAGAAGAATTAGTCTAGTTGGTTTTTCAAAATGGAATCCAGGCTCCTCAGTGTTCCCTCAGGCTTGGGTTGGTTGATAGGAAAAGCCTCTAATCCTCTCAGTCACTTTTCAGTTTGTTTAGAGAATGGGATCAAAGCTGGAAGCTTTTACTGGGTGGCATGACTTTTCAGAATGTACTACGTGAGGGAAAACAGCATGTTAGTGTCTTTTGTGTGAAGGCAAGCCCAATAGACCCCACATGCATGCCTCTCCACCAGGGACCTAGTCACCACCGATACATCGAAGGTCCTGCATTCCTCATTAACCACATTCAGTCAGACAATTAGCTTCCTGTCATAAACTGGGCCCGTGTCTATAGTCCATGTTCCCCAGAAACATGATATTAGGATATGCTACAAAGAAGAGGTCCGCTGAAGTGATAAAGCAAACTGCTGGCATCACCAACGGGGTACAAAAGTCATGCTCCTCAGACCCCCACACTCGATGGCTGCGGGGTTTATGGTCATCTTCAAAGAATGGCAAGATGGTGTCTACAGAGGACTGCAGTAATAGCTCCATCCAAAGTCCATTTGACTTCACACTCCAGAAGACCTTCATTGTCAAAACGTCATCTTCTTTAAAAACAAGAACTTAAATTTGGCCACCTGAAGCATAGGTCAGGACAGGCATGATGGTTTAGTGGATAAAGGCTTGATCCACAAGCCTGGAGACCCCACATGACAAGGAAAGGAGAGCCAGCCCCACAGATCTGCCCTCCACCTTCCCCACACACGTCTGGACACACATATGTACACACAATTTTTTAAAAGCACAAGCCAGCTCTCTTTCACATGATGTTACCAGTATAATCCACCAGCGGAAAACCAAGTTATATTCCTAGCTGCCGGACATGGAGAAAACAAGAAAATGAGACCTAGTAGAAAAAGCAAAGGTTAGAGCCGGGTCATTTTTAGCCAGTATTCAACCGCCTAAAGGTCAGTCATTTGAATCCTTTTTAATTTGAGCACATCCAGAAACAGATGAAAAACCTATGCTGAGGCACGATCCAGGCCAGCAGCATCTCCTGCCGATCAGCTTATAGGACCGAGATGGGGGGTGATGGAGGGTGATGGGGGACAATGGGGGGGGGGCGGTGGCGGGTGATGGGAGGTGATGGACAGTCACTCCAGCTGCTACATATCCTTAACACTTGGCGATCACGCAGAGTGAGTTAGTGGAGACACACTCTCAGGACTGTGGGGGTACGGAGCTGTGCATAATAAACTAAAAAAACATTGGAGCTACCGCCAATTCTTCCTCCCGTACATCAGCTGGTTCCATGTGACATCACTGACTTCTTGGTCCCTCCCCGCTCTGTCCCTGGCGTCTGTGTCTGCTCTGTCCAGCTGGTTTCTTCTCACTTCATTTCTCTTTCTCTGTGTAGGTACTGGGAGTCCCTACAGAGGATACCTGGCCTGGAGTCTCCAAGCTGCCTAACTACAATCCAGGTAATAGTGAGCTAAGAGTCTAAACGTTCCGAGAACTGGCAATTCTGGGAGAGTGTTGGCCACACAGGGTGTCCATCTGGCATTAGACACAACAAAGATAGACTAGTAGACTTATATATTTTCCACGAATTCTTTTATTTGTCTATGTATTTGTTTAGAACAGGGCCTCACTGTAGAGCCCAGGTTGTCTTGGAACTTGTTTGTAGCCTCTACCTCCCATGTGCTGAGATTTCAGGCTTGTACCACCATGCCCAGCTTAATCCTTTTATTAAAAAGAGAGTGAAATACCGACTGAGGTTAAATCCGTTCTCCAGTGATATAAAACCCAGGTAGCAAGGTGAAAAATAACTAGAAAGGACTGCTACCATGGTTGTCTACATCCATTTCCAAGTACACCACGGCTCAAAGGAACAGCATGCTTTGAATTGCATGAGCAAGGAACTGTTCTCACTGCGGAGCCCATGACTACCACTGAGTTTATTTGCTCCATGGTTGAGCCTTGTGTAACAGGAAAGCTATAGCAAACAGAGGGAGCCAGAGGCATGCTAGACCTAGGATAAGCCAGGTAAGATGCCTCTAGAGAACTGTCTCTCTGCCTGACGGCCGGTCATTTCTGTCACTCATGGTCCTTCACGAGCAGCTGCTGGGGATGGATAAGGAAGCGTTAGAAGTATTGTCCACAGGGAGATTCTTTGAGAAGTGGTCAGCTAATGCTCACTTCAGGGCATTGAGACAGAAGTGAGGATGCATCCAGTGAGCCAGAGGATGAAGATGGGCTGCCTCAGATGCCCTGGAAGCCAGAGACACAAACCAAGGCTGTGAGGATGCTAACCTCTCCCCGACAGGGTTAAGGGGGAGGAGCATGGGAACAGCTAAGGACATGACTTGGATGCAAGTGTTCCAAGCTAGATGATACAGTCTTCACGTTCTTACATTGTTCCGTTAATAAACCCCAGGTTTTCCCAAATTGTCACTATAGACTTTGGTGTAAGGTTTTCCTGGAAGAGTTTCATGCGAGCAAGAAATTGCAGGAAGACTTCAAAGCAATTAAGGAAGAAAACAAAAATCAGGGTGTGGCGGTATCAGCCCATAATCCCAGCACTTGGGAAGCTAACGTAGGAGAAACTTAAGTCTAAAAGGCCAACTCTGTGTGTGTGTGTGTGTGTGTGTGTGTGTGTGTGTGTGTGTGTGTGTGTGTG